AATAAAGGGGGAGAATAAACTAGAGTTGTTTTAAACTCTTACAGTCTGAATAAGTCCGTGATACAAAAATATCTTAAACCAGTCAATTGTTTTGCAGCTAGTTTATCCGTTTACCTGTAATTTGGAGAAAAAAGCAAACTGAACAAAGAAAACGGAGCTTCCTCCAAAACCCTAAATACAAGCATACTGGGTTCATTGGTAACTCTTAACTGGTCAAAGGTTTAGCAGCTGTGTGGTTGAGACTGTGTGTTAGCCCACTGCTGACTGGCTCACACTCCAGGACCCACTAATCTATAAATCTCTGCTCACCTGTTTGTTTCTAAACATTTCACAAAAACACTTCGTTCACTTCACTGATGATTCCCTCGTTAAAGACTAAAGAGTGTTTTCAAGAAACTGTTTAAATTCCATTTTCACACTTTATATGTCAATAACAACATTACAAATTCAGACACTTCATGTGCAGAATCGTGGCATCCAAATCAATCCACATAATCTAGTGCTTCATTTAATATAGATCAGAAGCTGTGGAAAACACAGCAGTTCAACAATTCAGAGAAGATAAAATCTCGAACCACATAAAAAATTGCACCCTATGTTTCAATTCCATACTTCATTTAACTTTTGTAAAGCATTTAAACAATGTTTCCCACAGATGGGCCGTGTAAAAATAAGAGAGCACCACAGAGCAAGACAAAAGATCCCCAGAGATCCTTCCATCATCCATTCAGGTTTCCAGGTATCAGGAAAATTCATGTCAGATCTGCCTTCACCACAAAATCTGTTTCAACGCTGATATTGTCAAAGTTTTACATTAATTAGCATCTCATTAAGACTTTTCCAGTCCAATAAAATGAATGTCTCTGTGCCTCAGAGCACGTCTTTGGTGGGATGGGAGTAATCTTGTCCCATCACTGCAGACAAACACTGTCAAATTACAGTCCAGGCAAATGGCAACAACATACTGTTTGGATTGTTTTGCATTTTGTGTTAAACTAAACCTTCTTTGGGGAAACACAAAGAAGGTTTAGAACAGAAGCAAACTGAGGGTTTAAATATGGGAAGAAGAAAGACAGAAACAAACAGAACCAGAAGGCACCGGGAATAAAGGGAAGGCATAATAGGAACAACAAGAGAACATAAACAAACTAGATGATTAAACTAAGGAGAACTAAGAATACAAACACTAAACACTCCAAAAACTCAGCCTAAGAATTTTATCTCCAACTTCCTTTCAGATAAGTGTAAATCCACCTGTTGGACAGAAGAGACCTAGTTGTGCTTGCTAGCATTAGTACAGGATATCCATATATGATTTTGTCCAACTAAACACTGTAGTGTGGCATAGCAGAATCACACAATCACGTTTACTCCATGCACTGTTCACCAGCATCGCCCGAATGAATTTAAAAAGGTGAGAGATGTTGTGTAGATGCAGTATCTCATTTCTCACCTGCAGTTGTGGGTCAGGAAAAACTTTGTCACTGTTTGTCACAAATGCAGGCTGTTCAATAACTTCCTGTGAAACTGCTGCCGTTTCCCCTGATGATGATGACGATGAGGAGGGTGTTGCTGACAGAACATTTGTTTGGGCCTTTGTTGTAACAGCAGCCTTCTCGGTTGTTTTGTCGACTGGCACCCATTCTCCATAAGCACCCAGTCCCTCTCCTTCCTGTAACACATTAAATAACTGTGGGTTTATATTAAAAGACATTTTCTTTGATAATTACCTGTTACGCAATTAATCAGTTTAAAAGGAGACGTTTATTCTGTGGAATACAAAGTGCAGCTCAAAGAATAAACTGAAGCTAGAATTGTTTTAATGCTGTTCATATAAATCAGATTCAGATCATTTTATTGATTCAGACAATTCATTTGCAGCTTAGCCACAACCTGCTCATGTAATCACAGGCAAAAATAGAAATGTGTCCACCAAC